AATTTAAAAAAGGTCTTATTTTCGAAACAAAAATTTTTAACTACATTTTCGTGACAAATTTTCTTTAATTTCTTTTTTAAACCTGATGAATTGAAATAAATAATATTACATATTTTGAAGCAGAGGTTCTCAGCTTCAAAAAACTGCAAGACGTTCATGTGACACGAAAAACTTAAATTTTGTCGATCAGAAAATTAGTAAAAAGTACTAAAAATGAGACGAGGGTACTACGGTAATTTTGGGTGTCTAAAAGTACTTAAAAAATTACTAAAGTACTGAATTTTCCATGCCTGATACAAGTTATGTTAAATTTAAGATTTCAGTAAGTTATTTAACGGTATATTAGGTCTTACATTTCATAGCCTGCTTTCAGGCATTAAAAATGTTGAAGATATTAAGGTAATATTAACACAAACATATTGTTACTTTTATTTACACACTTTGATACACAAGCACTTTTACAAAATTACTCAATTTATACAGTAAACAGAAAGGTGGGTATATTTACTGCCGGTCCACACTAGAAAACTTTTGATTTTGCGTGAGAGAGAAAGAGAAAGAAATATCATTCATCTCTCTCGCGGTACGGAGTTTAACGTACTCGGAAACTCGTTTTGTTTTGTTATTCTTCTCATTCGTACAAAAACAAAGCAATGCAATTAACACGTAGTTTCTGAAACAAAAGTTTCTATGTGTAGACATTAAGGAATCTTTAAAAGAGAATTAAGAAAAAGTTTCTCAACTAAAGTTTCTGTGTGTGGACCGGCACTTACATATCTTCAACACTCAGAAGCTCACTATACTTTATTAACATAACTCAATGCCGTTTTGTTATAGACTGAGAGTAGAAATACAATATTGCGGCTGCGGAGACGGTAATTTTTTATACCCTACACCACTTTAGTGGGGGAGGATATATTGGATTTGTGCTGATGTTTGTAACACATAAAAATATTCGTTCTATACCCACCTTAAAGTATACTAATCAGCTTAGAATCATTTTCTGAGTTGGTTAAGCTATGTCCGTCTGTCCGTCCGTCTGGCTGGCTGTCCATGTAAACCTTGTGCGCAAGGTACAGGTCGCAATTTTCAATATAAATGGTATATGGTTAAAATCGGTCCATTATTTCACCAAGCCCCCATACAACAGAACACCCCGAAAAGGGCCTTTTAGCTCATATTTATGTTAAATATACCTATATCTCGATGGAAAGCAGCACAAATAAGTTTTATTTTGACCCTAGCTCCCATACAAAGTCCGCTTCAGAAAATGACTTGAATGTCCAAAATTCACATATAAACACTATTATCGCTATGAAATCCAGCACAAAAAATATTATATAAATATAAATCTATTCACAAAATCTTATCGAGATCGTTCCATACTTGGTCCAAGACTCTATATAAACCATTTTTCAGAAAATTAGTTTTTCGTCCATAAATTGCTTAAATGTATCAGAAACAAGGTTGTATTGAAGATAAATACTTTATTATGAAAAATAAATCACATTTAATATTCATAACTTGTGTAGGGTATCATATGGTCGGCCACGCCCGACTATACTTTCTTACTTGTTTTATATTGAGTTTTGATAACTTAGAGTAGAAATAAAATAATGCGGCTGCGGAAGCGGATATTTTTTATATTGAGATTTGACAACTTAAATTGTAGAAGAAACCGCACTAAATTTAAATTTATTTTAATTGGTTTGCGAATTTTCTCTCTCTCACATTTAGAGTTGTCATGTCATTCGTTCGTTAGCAAATTAAAATAAATTTTAATTTGATGCGTATTTCATCTACGATTTAAGTTGTCAAAACTCAATATAAAAGGAAGTAAGAAAGTATAGTCGGGCGTGACCGACCATATGATACCAGTTATGAATATTAAATGTGATTTATTTTCCATAATAATGCATTTATCTTCTATTACCTTGTTCCGATACTTTTAAGCAATTTATAGATGAAAAACTAATTTTCTGAAACAGGCTTTATATGGGAGCTAGGGGCAAATATGGACCAAGCCCATTAAAATTTTGTGAATATATTTATATTTACATAATATTTTATTGTGCTGAATTTCATCGCGATATTTGTGTTAATAAGTTAATTTTGGACATTCAAGTAATTTTCTGAAGGGGAGTTTGTATGGGAGCTATGAAATTTGGCAAGGTCATCAAGACTTCTATAAAACTTAGTTGTGTCGCTTTTTATCAATATACAGGTATATTTAACATAATTATGAGCTCAGAAGCCCTTTTCGGGGGGTTCTATTCTATGTAGGCTAGGTGAAATAATGGTCCGGTTTAACCATTTTCAATAGGCCAAAAAAAGCGTGTGTGCCAAATTTCATCCAATTATCTTGAAAATTGCGACCTGTACCTTGCGCACAAGGTTTACATTGACAGCCAGCCAGACGGACGGGCGAACAGACGGACATAACTTAATCGACTCAGAAAACGATTCTAAGCCGATTGGTATACTAAGGTGGGTATGGGACGAATATTTTTGTATGTTGCAAACATCAGCACAAACTCAATATACCCTCCCCACTAAAGTGGTGTAGGGTATAAAAATAACTGTCTCCGCAGCCGCAAGATTTTATTTTTACTCTAATTTACATTTTCTCTTGGAACCAGAAAACACAACCGCATCCGCAGGTTTCTTTTTCTACTCAGACTCCTTCGGCTTATGATAGAAATACAAACCTGCGGATGCGGTTGCGTTTTCTGGTTCCAGGAGAAAATGTAAATTAAATGGAGTGCGGCTGCGCTTGCGGATTTGTAGCCATTTTATTATTTTTTGTTTTTGTATTTCATTGTTTATTTATTTAACACATGATTTTTGTTCATAGAAAGTACGAATGGCATGGCAACTCTAAATATGAGAGAGAGAAAATTCCTAAACAAATTAAAATAAACAGTGGACGTCCAATAGTACGTATACTCTTTATTACGAATATCCAATAATACGAATGGCAAAATTGTTGCATTGTCTACTCTATAGTACGAATAAAGTCACAATTTTTCTGTTCGATAGTACGAATAACGCATTTTTTTATGGGAATTTTGGTTTTATTTACGTATGAATGAAGTTTTTATTATGTTTTTATTTTATTATTTCGGTATCATTCACCTTAAGCTCAGTAATTTTGAAGTTTTTTTGTATTTATTACAAGTGTTTTGTATTTTTAAAAATCCTATACATACAATTTACTGCATGTATATTTACAAATCAACAATTATTTAGTGTTATTAATTTATTTTATTGGAATTTTGATGACCCAAGAGAAGAAATTAAATTGGATGATAACGCCAATGAGGAAAGTATTTTATTAGTTCCCGACAATAACTCTGCTGAGAACAATATTGAAGCCTCAAAAGCACTGTTATTGAAAAATCCGTAAAAATCATTTTACAATGTAATAAACATCGATGTTAAATGATGGATTTTTTAATAAGTAAAATGATATTTATATACATATGTATGTATGAACTGTTAATTTTGAAAGTAGTGTGACTCCACATTCCAAACAATGGGTTTAAGGATAACTATTCTAATTTTTAAGAGAAAATTATAAATTAGAGAATTGTGGTATATTCCATTCAAGTTTCTAATAAAAGTTTTATGTAATCTGAACATTTTAATACATTTTAGAACACATATGTAAATTGCAAATTGTCTTTGGCACACATCTTTTTAAAAACATTAAAATTTAAAACCTTCTACATATATCTCATTTCAACCATTGGACTCACGATACTTTCAAAATTAACAATTCATATACGTAAATATGTCCCTTTTTTGCCTGTTTATGTACAATAAATTTATTTAAAATAATACACATTTATTATATTTTGTTCCGTTATGTAATTTTTCATGAAAAATAAAAAAAAAAATAAATAAAATCCAATATTTTTTGTGTATTATTTGAATTTAAACATACAAAATGTGTTGTTCAATAATACGAATTTTTCGGTATTACGAAAGGCCCTGACACTATATAATTCGTACTAGTGGACGTCCACTGAATTTAAATTTGGTGCGAATTTCTTCTACGTTTTAAGTTGTTAAATCTCAATATAAAAAATATCCTTCTCCGCAGCCGCATTATTGTATTTTTCTTTATTGTTGACACTATTTATACTTCTTCATCATCTTCTAGACACTTCCGTATACTTCTGGCATACATTTTCTTGTACATTTAGTGGAGACACACACACCTCTACAATAATCGACTTTACATTTTAGCGTTGCCAACCAAATGTTAGTCGCTAAGAAATTCCTGGAAGTGGCCGTTAAAAACCGTTTAGTTTAAATGCAAATACGATTTCGTAACAATATTAATGAAATGTTAATGAAGATATCGAAAAATATTTAAATATTGTTGTAATGACTTCACCTTATTAATTGCGCCATAATTAGAATGTTAATGTCCAGGAAAAAATTTCTCCCTCTACCTGAAGATCTGATCAAACATTGTGGTGTTGTTCACAAGAATGTAATTTACTTTAATAATCTCTTAATATTAGTGCAGTTAAATTAAGAGAATTATTTCTCTTTTGCCTACTCACCTGTGTGCATTTTTATTTGAAATTAACAAACTTAAACTCCAACACCAAATATTGGGTGTTGAGATTTTTGTATGATAAGATAAAAACGAAATGTGGTGGGTTAATAATTGTAAAAACTGATAAGATTTTCAACAGACATGGATATTTTAATACTATTTTAGTTTTTAAACAGTTTTTGACTTTGTTTAAAATTTATTCTAAATTTAAAATAAAACAGACATGATTAATTGGTGTAATATATTTTTTTGTTGTCCAATTTAAAATATTATATAATTCTATGAAATATATTCATTAAGTGAATTCAGTATTTTGGCCATATTAACGATTTTTTACCCATCCAAAAATTCTTGTTTTGTTTGAGTTCGATACCATTACGAAATTCCAATTTTCCATACCTGATTTCTCGTTAGTGGTCGGAATATTGGTCATTTTATTTTAGTGTTTTGTTAAAAGTTGACACAGTTCTAGATTCGTGGTCGAAGTGTTAAGGTAACATTTTAAAGCAAAATCAAAGGTATTTTTAAATAAAAATATCATTACAACTTTAATAACTATTTAATTGAGAACTGTGATTGAGGAAATATTTTTGAATTTTTGTGACAAATATGTACTAAATTTATATATAATATATAATCGATATTCCATTGAGTGTGAATATAAATATAATAAAAATAAAATTTGATAAGATCAGCCATATGAATTATTGATAACACACATTTAACCAATTTTATATGGTCGACTGAGTCATTATCTATTTTCTGTAATCAATTAAATACTTAAAGTACTAGTGAAAATATTTTTGTTTCAATACTAACTTATGCGATTTTCTACATTCCACAGAAATCATCAAATTGAACCAGACCATTTGGATAAATAGATTAAAATCAAAGTAAAACAACCAAACTCCAAAAATGACGCGCAATTCCGTCATAATTACGTTAGGTGTATTATTTGTAATTGCCAACGTAGGACCCATATATGCTGCTGATAATACTACACAAAAGGCAGTGCCTTTACAGAATACGAATTCAACAGCTGCAACTGTAGCAACAACACAAGCTCCTACAAGCACAGTAAAGGTATGTAGATAAATAAATTTCCCCAAAGTATTTTCATCCTTAAATTCATTTTATATTCATGCGCGGAACCCATTTAAGTAACTTTTCTAGAAAAGATTTCCTAAAGCCGCAAAGTCTTCAATCTCATTATCACCACAACAGTTGAAGGGTAGAGAACTGTCAAGATTTCTGTTGTGAAATTATTATATGGCACATAACAAATATATTTTAAATTTGAATCGATTAAAAAGAGCTAATTGATGGAGGGTATTAAGATTCGGCTTAGCCGAATACAACACTGTAACTTGTTTAAAATTTGGCTATCGTGGTAGTTCACAGCGCGCGAACAATAGTAGAGTCGAAGGGTCTCCGTTTTGACACTATTTAATACATAATACATACATATGGGCAATTTCGTGTCAAGGGACCCAACTCAAAAAATCGATTTGGATGAAATTTGCACTAAGCTTAGTACTATTGGATAGTGTGCCGGACTTAAGGGTCCTTCAGACGATCACACTTTACGTACGTTAAGTAAGTAAAATGAAATTCTATCCGTATGACAAAAAAGAGAATAGAAGTCGTATGATTTATATTTTTCGTGTTTACACGATTACGATGGAAACAGCTGTTACACTTTTTTGTATGTGTTTACAATAAAAAGCATACCTGATCTAATGCGACTGTTTTGTTGTCTGGATCATTTCAAAAAATGAAGACGTTTAGACGATCCCATCCGTTCTCTTCTACACAAAATTTTGACAGATCATATTACTTGTGTGCTCGTGTGAAGGGGCTTCAGAGGGGATTAAAGTTGGACATTTTGATCATACAGGATTTTACTCGAATGAGTGTAACTTTTAACCTATTGGTTCTAGCATAAATTGCGCAAAGGACTTCAGATAGCTATTTATTTATTGTTTCCAAAATATATTACTTTTTTTGCATAATTTTTTTAATTTGTTTCAAAATGCGCCCTTTGTCTTCTTTAGCTCAGAAGAAAGCTTATACAATTTCTTTTAAGGGCTTTATAGTCCCATAGCGGGATGCGAGTTGAATATCTATCAAAAAAATATTTTTTAACTCAAGAATAAAATTTTTCCCGATAATTTTCCCCATTTTTTTTTTAAATTGATGTTTTTGTTGTTTTTTTCCTCAAAAGAAAGCTTAGACCCTTTTCTATTAAGAAATTTAATCAAAATACTGTTTAATGGTTCAGTTATAAGCAAATAAAATGAGTAACCACCTACGGTTACATGAGTTCGATTTCACCGTTTTATAGTTCATATCATAATTGATACCGACAACTCGATAACCTCATTTTTTTTTTTTTTTTTTGGCTAAAATGGGCAAACAAAAAATTTGTCATATCGCGACCCTCGTTAAAAATTTTACGCTAAATTTTAGTCTAAATATATCATGAGGCAGGTACTTTATGACAGACAATACAAATATTTGGACCAGTGAGTTAAAAATAATTTAATAATTTAATATAATAATAATTTTTAGTGCATGAAAATCCTTGCCTTATTTAAAAAAGGCAGAAAAACAGTTCGGACCATAGATAATACACATAGATTGCCAACTTAAGCTTTACCACGAAAAAAAGAGCTTTCTCTCTTCACACTTACATGTTCGGTGTGAATTCAACACAAAGCTACAACAACAAATATTCAATATTTCAGGTCCAAAATTCGCACAAAAAAAGATTCGGACACAATTTTTATAACACAAACACACATTATTTATTTTTTTACAATTGTTTTAATATATTTTCTTTATCGAAATCTTTTTATTTTCACAAACCAAAAATTTTTTTTTTCAATTGTTTGACATTTCATTTTTTGTTTATCTAATTTTAAATTGAAGGTGCAGAGTAGCATTTCTTAGTAGTAAACAAATTTTTGATAATCCAAGAAATTAAACATTTTTATATTTTAACAAATATAGAATGCATGAAAAATATGATCATGCTTTTATAAATGCAATCTACAATTTAAAATTTATTAATTTAAGAAAATTAATGCAATAAAAACATTGTAATATTATTTCGACCGATTTTATACAACTACGTGGGCATTATATGTGTGGTAAAAAGCTTTTATACACTAACACTTCTAAAGAAAATCTTACTAATACATATTTAGAGTTAGGTTTTTTTGACAGCTGAGTTAGGTTTTTTCCAGGAAAGTTGGCTTTCTACGGTAATATTCTATGGTTCGGATCATGCTTTAATGTCTCATTGTTTGAAGAACTAAATCTTGTAATAAATATGTATACGTCCAATTCACAATCGGTGTTGTATGGTTGTATCGCTGAATGTCGTAATTTTTATACCCAAACCACTATAGTGTGGAGGGTATTATGCGTTGTGCTGATGTTTGCAACAGCCAAAAATATTGATCCTACACCTTAAACAGGTATTAAAAAAACACTTACTTAAATAAAATGTTGGAAGAAAACTAAAAACATAGATAATACACATAGATTGCCAACTCAAGCTTTACCACGAAAAAAAGAGCTTTCTCTCTTCACACTTACATGTTCTGTGTGAATTCAACACAAAGCTACACCAACAAATATTCAATATTTCAGGTCCAAAATTCGCACAAAAAAACGATTCGGACACAATTTTTATAACACAAACACACATTATTTATTTTTTTACAATTGTTTTTATATATTTTATTTATCGAAATCTTTTTAATTTTCACAAACCAAAAAATTATTTATTCAATTGTTTGACATTTCATTTTTTGTTTTTCTATTTTCAAATTGAAGGTGCAGAGTAGCATTTCTTAGTAGTAAACAAATTTATGATAATCCAAGAAATTAAAGAATTTTACATTTTAACAAATATAGAATGCATGAAAAATATTATCATGCTTTTATAAATGCAATCTACAATTTAAAATGTATTAATTTAAGAAAATTAATGCAATAAAAACATTGTAATATTATTTCGACCGAAATTTCAGGTATCCACAAAAAATCTGTAATTTTTTACAATATATTCATTGCACTTTTCACATAAAATATTGTTTAATTTTCTAAAACTGGAAAAAATAATTTTTCTATTTATTGACATTTCATTTTTGTTGTTGTTGAATTTTAATTTACAAACAGAGTTTCAATTTTTGGTATTGAAAATTCAAACAAATTTAAAATTTTAATTTTTTATAAAACTCTGTGTGTTCAGAATGCACCAACACATATATATTTTTGTTACCAACACATCCCTGCCAGCAATTTTGTAGTCGACTACGAGAAAAATTCACTTCTAGTTTACTTTTACAGACTGACTATAAGCTAACTACAATGTAATGCAGAGCTGTCCCGAAATTTTGTATGTGGCAACGTAAAGAACCGACTTTTAAATACTAACTACAAGCTAACTATAATGTAATGCAGAAGTGCCTCAAAATTATCTGGAGAGAATTAACTGTATTTCAACATGTTTTCTCTTGTTTCTCTATTATTATGATTTTATTTGTTGACTTTAGTAGACTGACTATAAACGAACAGCAATGTAATGCAGAAATGTTCCAAAATTTGGTATTTATTAACGTAAACAACCGACTTTTAAAGACTAGCTACAAGCTAACTATCATATAATGCGGGAGTACCCCAAAATTATCTGGAGAGCATTTTGTTTCGACATGTTTTCTCATGTTTCTTTATTATTTGGAATTTTGTTTTACATTTTTGTCATTTTCTTCTATACGTTGTGAAATTAGAGTCAGTAAATTGGAAAAATTAATTATAAAAGGTTAAATATTTCAAAACTCGGTCCCTAAATTCTAAATTCTGCTGATTAATACTGTAAATATAATACATTAACAGTTAACATTACACATAACATTTTAAAATTTATTTTAGATTTGGATCAATGGAAATCATGGAAATAATGAACAAATCATTCATAATTTTATGGATACCGGTGTTATTATTAGTTCCCCTGCAGAAAACTGATGTCTATTAATTTTAACGAACTAATGTCATAAATTGTATTAAAGCGAAATGTAATTTAGATAACTAGTAGTTAAATTTTAAATATATTTAATTAAAATATAATTAATTAATACAGTAGGGAATTCAAAAGATAACTATTGCTTGACTTTTCTGCAACTAACTTTAAGTTAGTTAATAAAGAGTTACCTTTAAGCTAATTTTTTAGTAACTAACTTTAAGCTAGTTGAAAAGTCATGCAGAGTCGGACAATTGACTACTGCGTAGGACATCGCCATGTTAAAATAGTCAGTTGGCTCCATTAAAAATAATCCAAGAATCAACCATAACTAGTTGATGAAAAAGTCGGCTTTTAATGCATTTAAAGTTAGTTGAGTTGCTGGCAGGGATATTTAGACTTTTTCACTAACACATGCTTAGAGTTAGGTACTGCCAGTGTTGCCACTTTGGTTATTATTAACCAAAATTGGTTATTTTTATTTTGTATGTGTACATGTGAATTATTTTTTCGTTTTGGTTATTTTTTGCAAACAATTGAACTAAATGCTATTTGCTTTTATTCTAAAAATAAAATTAAAAAAAACTTCTTTTATCTCTAGTTTTAAATCAACTATGTAAATATACTCATTCACGTTCCATATCGTTCCAGTTTTGGGTCGATTCAAACTCGTCCGTTTTATGTAAAGAACTCAGGATACTTATGTGAAAAAACGAAGTAGGCTGTATTTCGCATTTCGATTTTTATGGAATTTGATGGGAATAGTGTACGTACTTAGTAGATTATGTAATCCAAATTAAATTTTAAGTATAATTGCAACTTCTATACCTATTTGAAATTTTGCATAAACAGATACTGTGCTAATTTGCCGAAATTCTAAGATAAATGATGCAAGAATAGTATCACAATATCTTTAAAGTATTAATCAACTGATACTCATGACCTTTGACTTCTACTATCTCACCATGACTTTTACTTCTTTATTTACATTTTCTAGATGATGTTGTATACTAGTTTTTATTTTACCGTCTTAAATTCTAAATTTTGGTCAATTTGTCGGATAATTTGGATAGATTACGTTTACAAATATTGCTGATGTTATGAATGTAATGCTAACATCCGCTACATGGTATTACAATTTGGTCAAATATACCCCTTAAACCCCTTAATATCGAACGAAATCTCCAAATCTGTACATAAAATGGGAAGAATTTTATAATTTAAAATTGTTTTCCAAAAAGTTATATGTGGAGTATTTTTGAATTGCGCTAAAACAGCGGTTCCCACCGGTTTTTACTTCGCGGACCCCTTGAGGAACTTATTTAATTTCGCGGACCTCCATACATATTTTGATATCTTATTGTACTAAATAATTGTTCGTCCGAAAATTGACCTAGTCCATAAATCCCTAGGTCAAATAAATGTAGAGATGTCATATCTATAAAATATTCCCGATAAGTTTTTAATTGCATGGTTTTGAAGATAGAAAGACTTCTTTGTTGAAATGTTAACATGATGTTTAATTTTATGATCGTGAGACCTTTCATGTTCATTTTAATTCAAGGTAGCAAAAAGGTTTCTTTATCAAATATTGTCGACATGTGCTTAAGGAGTCACGTTTCAAAAATTTATTGCGATTGCAGAGGGGTAAAGTGAGCTAATTTTTCGGGAAAATAATATAAGAAAGTTGGACTTCTTCCATGTTGTTGCGGAATACGTTATCCGCATAATATATGACATGAACTCTTTTACTGCATGGTTTTGCCTACATATTTACTCGAAACGATATGGATTTTCTGATGTTAATTTAATATATTCTGATGTTAATTTAATATTGGTCGATAAAATCAAGTTAAATTTAGCTAAATTAACGTATTGAAGGTACATAAAGAGTCACCTCAGTTTTTGAAATATATAATTTTAGTCCTTACAAACAAGAACACTTTTGCTTACAATTTGACAAACTTAAATCTGGTATAAGCTTGTCTTTGAATTATGAAATGTGGCCTAACTTCATACTCCGGAATACCAGTATCCCTTATTTAATTGTAAGACAGATCATTATCCGTCTGAAATAGAAAAACATTGTTTCACTACATATACAGGAAATAAAAATTACATATCAGGCAATATCTTACTTTATAAAAGTGATACAATATTGTTTATTCATGGCTTTTTTCGTTTGTATTCGCGGACCCCCTAGGATTTTACTACGGACCACTAGGGGTCCACGGACCCCCATTTGGGAACCGTTGCGCTAAAACGCGTTAAAGACTCAGTTATTTTTTAAAATAAATATTAATTACATTTGTTAACGAATCCGCGAAGAGACATATATTTATTGTTGAAAACACGATAGAGTCGAAAAGAAACAAGATAGAAAACTGAAATATTTTGCCAAAATATGTTTAGTTGACCCAGTTTGCTTGGTATTGAAAATGCGAAATATCGGTCAACGATTTCACCTAGCCCCCATATTATGCCCTATTCTGAAAATAACTATATTGCTTAAAAAAGCACCTATAGCGATGAAATTCAATATAAAAAAGTTTTATTGGAAATGTATTTGCCAAAGTTTATGAGGATCGGTATATAATTGACTCTATCGCTCATAAAAAGTCTCCTCAGAAAATGACTTTAAAGCTCTTAATGTACTGCAATATAGCAACAAAATTCAACATAATCAAGTTTTAAAGGAACTAAAATATCTCTGTCAGATTTTATGAGAATTGGTCCATAATTGACCATACGTCTCATATGAGATCCCCTACAGAAAATTACTTTAACGCTCATAACTGTCTTCATAATACCAGTTTAGCGACGAAATTTAACATAGTTACAAGTTCCACTTCAGAAAATGAATTTGTTATTTTAATGTCGAATTTTGGTTACAAAAAAAATTTTGTTGTGGCAACACTGGGTACTGCTGTCAAAGAGTCGGACTACTTGTTATACTTTGTTAAAGGGGTTGTCAAACAAAATTTGTTATTCTCTTCACACAGACGAGTTCTGAGAGAATAAAACACACTTGAGAGAACTAAACGCACTCACAAAACTTCAAATTTTCTTTGCGAAATTGCGAGGATATTTGCACTTAATAGTTTTTCTTATCACTTAAACTTAATATTTATTATTTTTTTTCCACACTTTTAATGTATTTAAAACCCCGACAGAAATTTAAATTTTACAAACGAAAAAAATATTTTTTATTCTTTGACTCTTTTTCCATTAGTGCAGAAAAAATAACAAAAAGACGTGTTTATAATATTAAGATGAAATATCTTTTGAAAAAAATTAAATAACTAAAATTTTCATTTACAATTAGCTGAAATCCCAGTAGTAACACACGTATCAAAAATACATTTATTATTTAGTACCTTTTTAACAACTGTGTTTATTTTTGTGCTTCTACTAATACATTCTCACCAGTTAAGTCTTTGACAGGGGACTTAGGTCTTTGACAATCCCTTTCGCCTATATGCTACTATGTGATATGCTCTAAGCACTCGAATTATTCCCAATATAAGATATTAAAATCAAATGCCAAATTATGCTCAAATCGAGCCCAATGAGTCATTCAAATATTAAAATTATTTTATATTTAATTTACCTGTGTGCTGTTCATAAATTTTCAGGTTTGACTCAAATTTGGCAGTTTATTCAAACCCTCAATCCTCGAAGGACTAGGACTGGTTGAAAACTAATTTAAATATATGGAAAAAACATATTCCATTTAACATTGTGATGTCCTAGCATTATATCGGAGTAATCTCAAAGCTAGTCCCATGAAGAAATTATTGATGTACATGATCCGCAACATGGTCCAATGTAATGCAGGATAAGTACTATATTCTTTTGAAAAATAATAAACATGATCCATGACTGCATTATATAGGACTACTAAACGGATCATGTACTCCAATAATGTTTACAGGCGAGAAGTTTTTGAATTACCTAAATGGATTTTGTACTCCAATAATATTTGCAAGGTAGTTTGAACTATAAAAACGGCCCTTAAATTTTAAATAACAAATTAGAATTTTTTCAAAAAACTATTACACTATAGAATGAGTGCGAAGAGAATCACTTTAAATTCTTGAAAAACATCCATGGAATTATTTTTAGGTCTCGTTTTCTGCAACATGATGCTAAAGTACTTCTTAGGAGTTTTGATGAAACAAGTACTTTGTCACTAGTTATATGTTGGTACTAGAAAAATTAATTAATTAAAGAATTCGACATTGATTTTAAAATAGCACGGAATTTTTAAACAATAATGTAATTAAGATTATCTAATTTATTGGAGCCAATTATAATTCATCAACTAACTCTTTAGAAAAATCTTAACAATTTCATTCAAAAATCGTTTAGAAAAGAAATAGTTCCCGAACTGTTGTAAAGAAGGTGTATATGCCTTGCTAAGCTTTCCTAAAACTAGTTCCCATGGTGAAAAATTCGAACGAAAATCATATACATATCAAAGAACTATTTCCAGAACCGTTTCATTTAAACAAAAATCATTGGTCTCAACGACAAAGTAGAACGAGTAGAGACTATAATCATACATTCTAGAAGTAGTTGCAGAACTAATAGACATTTTTTTGAGTATTTACACATTTCACAATTTAAAATACTCCTGCCAGGGATGGAAAATGAGATTTTGTTTCAGTATCAAAAAATATTTCAGAGGGTACTCTTTTGGCCCTCAGAGTACTTAAATCATTTTTTTTAACAAAATACATTTTTATTTAGAAATTTTTATACGGAAGTAGAAAAGCCATTATGTGTTGATATGATGAATCTTTGTCCGTCCCTCAATGTTAACCTTTTAGATATAATTTGATGAAATTTGCTACATAATTTCTTGCCCAAGGAAATGGTTACATGATATCCCATAGGTACCATAAGTACAAATATTACACCGATATTGTACTTTGTAAATATGTTAAGTTTAAAGCAGCCATGATACAATTTGTTATATTTCAATATTTCAGGCCACATTTGACCCTAGCCCTATACGAGAATGAATTTAGAAATTCAACTTAACGTTAATAATTGAGCTACAAATATTATTATCGATGAAAAGTTTGTTTATTGTCAATAAATCGCTTTAATATGTACATAATATGTATTAAATTAAAATCCGACGTAGGTGTCATTTGTTAAAAAATCAATTCTCCTATAAAATTCTATACATTGCGCTCCATACCATGAGACCTTATATAGGATATTTACTCATACATCCGATTCTGAATATGACAAGAAACAATAATTTGCTTTAAAGTTCAAATATTTTTGACCAAAAACTTTTAATTATCTTTGGTTAAATGCCTAATTTCAAAACATTTGTTTTAAAGTGGAATATTTTTGCAAAATTTAAATTTCTGGTAATTTTATCAGATAATGTCAATCAAGATAAAAATAAGTACAATTTCCGATTCCATTTCGAAATGAGCTGCATTGATAATTTGCAAAACATACTTCTAAAAAAGTCGTTTTAAAAGTAGATCTTTTAAATTCTGGTAATATTGAAGAGAATTCCATTACTTTATAATTTTATTAGCCGTTTTTTCTAGAACTTTTAGTTGATGCATTTTTGAGAATTATATGTAAATATGTGCCAAAGCATTCTTGTAATTTTAAATTTGAAAAATATGATACATTGTTTCAAAGATACTTTGAGAGTATCAAATAAGACTCGGGAGTATCACGGTATTTTTGAACATCAAATAGTATCAAAAAAAGTACGATCGTACCAATTTTGCCATCCCTGACTCCTGCATAATCATAAAAGTTTAATATGTGCATATAACCTGCCTTATCATTTATAGTTTTAATCTCATCCCCAAAGTATGCCACAATTTATTTTTAATTTTATCACATGTTTTTCCTATTTCAGCCAAAAATTGTAATAAAAGACAGTGAATTGTGTAAAAAATGTTCGTGTGATATTCAATATCTACAAATCGATTGTAGCAACAAATCAATGAATACTTTGTTCTCCGATGAGGAATGGCAGACATTACAAAATGGCGATGTGTTATTTGAAATAATGAATCTGAATCACAATAACATTTCATATATTCCCGTTTTGCCAACATATCCGGTTAAATCATTGTATCTAAGCTTTAACAAAATCAACAACATTAGCATTGGAGCGTTCCAAAATCTGTCCCAACTGACAGTTTTGGACTTGTCGAGTAACAAATTAACATCAAAATCCCTTAAACCACATGTCTTTAAGGGGATGTATGCCGCTGATAAATATGAACCCTTAAAGAATTTAAGAACACTTGATTTGGCAGATAATGATTTACACACCTTGAACAAGGATCTATTTGAGCACTTGCCTGATTTGGAGACATTAATTTTATGCAAAAATACTTTCCATGAAATCGATCCGAGTACTACGATTGCGATAGCAAGTTTGAATTCCTTAAAAGTAAGTCAAAATGTCAATGATATAATAAATGCACAAAGAATGTTACAAATGTTTCGGCGGATTTATGTTGATCTTTCAGATATAAAACAATAATAACAGTATCCTTTTTTCTAGACTTTGGATTTATCTTATATGGAACTTAGTGCGCTACCCGATTCTCTATTTCACAGTCCCATTGAGTTGGAAACTCTAATTTTATCCGGCAACTCATTCCATACTTTGCCTATAGCTTTGAGCCGAACCAAACACTTGAAGAAATTAGTCTTAGATGAAAATCCTTTTGATGATTTTGATAAAACCAAGTAAGAATTGTTTAAACAGAATTTTAAAACGATTTTTCATTCAAATATTTTTTTTTTTTCAAAATTCCAGTATATTCAAGTCATTAGGGGAATTGGAGTATTTGAGTATTTCTTATTTGCCAGACGTTACTAAAATTGGACCTTGGGCCTTAAGCGATTTGCAGAGTAAGTACAACTGCTGCATTCTCTTTGTGTACTAAAAATGTTCACTTTTTTATATTGATAGATCTAACTACTTTGATTGCTATCAACAATCCTCATTTGTCAAGTATACATGAATTGGCGTTCACTAAGAACACTACAAATCCCGATATTTTCGATTATCCACCATTAAAAAAAGTTTGTAAACAAAAATCAATTTCCTACTATTTATTAACGATTTTTATTTATGCAGCTCTATTTACACAACAACAACCTTACAACGATTGAACATAATTGGGTGGTTAATTGGCAGAAAATTACTGAAATCGATTTACGCTTCAATCCATGGGCCTGTGATTGTACCAACAGTTGGTTTATACATTCGTTGATGAAACAAATAAATAATACCACACCGGTACTAACAAAAAATGTCAACTGCGCCACTCCATCGGCTTGGAAAAACAAGCCTCTTCTGGAGTTGAGTGCAGATAACAAAGAACTAATTTGCGAAAATACCAGTCATCCTGGAAACGATAGTTTAATCTTAGTCGGTATATTAGTGGGTGTTTTGATTGGTATACCATTAACTTTAGGTGGTTTGGTTATTTACCGCAAGGGTTGCTTTGGTTTACTTAATCGTCATAAACATGGTACCGATCGTTCCTTATATAATCGTGCTAGTTTTGCTGATGAATTCCATATTTAAAAGTTTTTACTTTAATATAATTATATTATAAATATTAACACACAAAAAACTTGTAAATTTTCGCAAACTTTTTTTTACAATAGAACAAGTTATGTACCATTATGTATATGTATATAAATATGTACATAAATATAGAGACTTTTTCTAATAAATAAAAAAAAATATTTTTTCTCTTCATAAAGGATAAATAAAGATATCAATGATTTGTTAGCGGGATATTGCATGATGTTCACCTTGGTTCAAAGAAATAAATTAATCTACCAATTCACAGTGGTTTAAACACTTTTAATTTTAGAAATAAAACGGTATCTCTGGAAAAATTGGATATATCGGATCGAATTTCACGTTGATCAGGGGCAGAATGGAAACCAGTAGGTAGTCCCTCAAAGTTGGTCACCCAGGATATTAAATGTATCAAATGTGGCGGGCCTACGGAGGGTCGTAAAATAAAAATATCATCTGGTTTTCGGGTAAAATTCTAAATAAAACAACAGTTATCTTGTCCCTTTAAAAAATTAGATGTAGTGTTTATAAACCGGTTAACCGAAAAAAACGGTTTTTATTTTATAGTTTTTCGCAAACCGATTTTTTTAAAACATTGGTTTTCAGTTAACCGGGTTATCCGGTTTTTAAGTCTCGGTTAACCGGTTTCAAAGAGATATAATTTTTAGTACAAAATTGTATGTTTTCTTTGATTTTTTGTTTTGATTTTTAAAAAATTTTGGATAGATAATTCTAAATATTTTTTATCTTCAGATATGTATAAGTTTGTTTTTTTTATGATATATTAATGTATATATCTATACTAAAAAGTGCAAATATCTTATTAAGTAATACATAATATTTCGCAAAATGACATTTTTGAACTAAATATTATATATTAAATATTATAAGATTTCGAAACATTTCGGTTAACCGGTTTAACCGGTTTTTTATACTCGGTTAACCGACAAACCGGTTTTCTAGAAATTGTCAATTTTCGGTTAACCGAAAAACCGGGTTTTCCAAAAGTCGGTTTTTTATAAACACTAATTAGATGAATCCAAAGTTGCAATATGTAAAAATTGACGTATTTTTTAGTTTTTTTCCAAAAAGGACCTACATTCTTTCTTTTATAGACAAAATTTTCTTCGAGATCTTATATAAATTGTATATGAACTTAATGCGTATGCGTGTTAAATAAAATTTCATGTAAGTGGGAAATGCCCCCACCAGCCCTATCCAAACTTGGTCAATTTTGAAGAAAAAATTTTATTTGAGTAAAAAATTCTTAAAGTTCAAAGCACCGATCCTTATAATGGCTCTATATTTTTATAGACATACATGGTCCTTAAATATATTCGAAGTCTTTTACTATGACACTGTAAATAACGTCACAGAAAACTAATTTTTTGGAACATATTTTCTTCGCTTAGATAATTTCGGTAATTGTATATGACAGATTTTTGTCTATATATGTCCAAAAGTTTGTTCCGATATCTTTATCGGTTGAATAACCAAATAATTTTATAAAAACTATAAACTTAATCACCAGAAAGTTTCCAAACTTAAACTCTTTTCATATTTCAGTTTTTTTTTATGAATTTCAAGCAAATTTCTCTTATTAGTCCTGCCTCTGAGAAGGAAAATTATCTTTGGTGATTCTATTTTTATTCCATCGGATCTTAAATTAATTGATGATCATTTTTAACCTATTCGGATAATTAAAATTTGTGGAGGAACTTTAAGAAATAGTTTATAAAAAATTTGTATATCCTTCACAATAAGATATAAAAAACTGAAATCGAATCAGAAAGAACTAAAAATGGCTACAAAATATTCCAAGATAAAGACTGATTTTAATAAAATTTCGTGGGAATATTAATCTGACTGGGTTATTCAGATAAACCCAGAATCAAATGTGATCAAGCAAAATTAACACAAATCCTAAAATTCTTTAATCGCTTTTGAAGAATTGTTGGATTGGTCGTTAATCATAAGTTTGTTACACCTCATATTTTATTTTAAAGAATGTACCAGCGTACTAACTTTCAAACCTTTTATCGAAGCTCTGTCTTCATTTCGTGGAATAGCTTCATTTTCCAAATACCTTTCTAGGTTTAAAGTGAGATACACATGTATATTCAAAATAGTAAATATAATCCTATAGGTACTTTTTGAAATTAACGATTTGTTAATATAATTAAAAAAGCTCCATTATAAAAAGCAATTTTTAAGTAAAAACATCAACCAGTTGTTTTACTTCTTAGCACCCAACAATTTGGCTGATCAGCAAAAGCTAGTTTTTTTTTTTCTTACATGTTGCTGCCGTTTTAAAGCTTAAAATAAACAACACATTCAACAAAATTGTTGGCAAACTACTCAACTCACTCCAGTTCATACAAGACCGGATTCGCTATTTGCTTTTCACTCGTTCAGAGACGGTGATACATGTAAGACCAACAACCAGACACCGCGCGAATGTTTCATCAAGAAAAACAATATTTGAAATTTAAAAGTGAATCTAAGTAAAATTCCAATTATTTTCGTGTTAAGAGTACTTTACATTAAAGGGTCTCCTTACAACGACTGCCACAATTTCTCACTGTTTCGAATCCAATGAAGACTTTTTTTGTGAGCCATTATTGACCATTGTACTTTGTGTTTTAATATAAAACTTTAGTTGAATGTTTTTAATGTACTTGAGTTTATAATTTTTTCTTTTTGTTTAACAAAAAAATAATAATAAAATATAAAACTTTAATTTATTTTGTTGTTTTGTATAAAAAAAAACAAACAATAACAAACAAACATCAATGTTAAGATGAATATGTGCACGTGAAATTGTGTGTGATCGCACCTTATTAGTGATAAAAGTGAAATTCGTTTTAGTGTAAAACGCTAAAAAAACAATAAAAAAACCAAATTAAAAAGAAACAAAAACTTTAATTACAAGCTGATTGTGCGGTTCATGTGTGTTGCAATTCAAACCAAAATTACCGGTTACCACTCCAAATCAATAAAAGACACAAAGTAATCGACCTTTAAAATAAAGCCGCTTAAAGAAAGCAATCACCTTCAATAGTCGGATGCTGTAATTGTTCACACACTTCGAATACAAATTGCTATCGAAAGAAAGAGAAAATTTTAAAAGCAGCAACAGTTGCAGTTTTCACACAGTCAAACCACGAAAAGAAAATAAAAATAAAATCAGATTTAATCAAAATGTCTTCAAGCGAAGAGCCAGTAGATGCAGTGGAGGCCGTGGTAAGTTTTACTCTGGCGCATTAAATTAATATAAAAAGACAGACAGACAGACGAACAAAACCAACAAATCAAACAAAAAAATGCATGCAAAAGACACAATATGTTGACTGTGAAACTTGAAATTTCTTGGCTCATTTCTCTTTCAAGTTGTACCCACCCGTCGTATACCAATGTATTTGAACTCTGTTTAATTTCACATCCAAGGGTTTCACAAAGCGTTTTTTTTTTTTTTTCAATTTTAAATTTCAATTTAGTTATGAAAAATTGCCCAACATTTTTACAAAATGTTTATAAAGGAAAAAAATATCGATGGTCATAGTTGAAATTCTTGTTAAGAGGTTCTTAAATATCTGCATGACAATGCAGTATACAGTGGGACAGAATCAAAATGTTTTCAAAATAAATCTGGAATTTCTAAACAGATGGTTCGATTGGAATAAAATTTGACATGATCATAGCAAACGAGTACTCGAGTTTAAGTTTTGAAAATGAACTCCGCAAATGCATACTACAGACTAGGCTAGACTACAGACTAGGCTAGACTATAGACTAGGCTAGACTACAGACTAGGCTAGACTATAGACTAGGCTAGACTATAGACTAGACTATAGACTAGACTATAGACTAGACTATAGACTAGACTACAGACTAGACAATAGACTAGACAATAGACTAGACTATAGACTAGACTAGAGACTAGACTATATACTAGACTATAGACTAGACTATAGATTAGACTATAGACTAGACTATAGACTAGACTATAGACTAGACTATAGACTAGACTATAGACTAGACTATAGACTAGACTATAGACTAGACTATAGACTAGACTATAGACTAGACTAGACTATAGACTTGACTATAGGCTAGACTATAAACTAGACTATAAACTAGACTATAGACTAGACTAAATTGTAAAATATTAATTTAGAGTAAATCTCGTGAAATTTACGAAATTTTTAATTATGCAAACATTTTGGATTATTTTAAAATCATTTTTGTAATTTTAGTTAAAAAATTATCATCCATACGAAGTTTTTTCGTTATGTTATAAAAAGAATTCGTGAATTATATTATAGTTTTTCAAACATTTTATGCACAATGTTGTAGTTTTATAATGTAATTAATATTATTATGTTTTAATATTTCGTATTATACATGAAATTTTCGTAAATGTTACGAAAAAGTATATATGTACAAACATTATTTTTCGTAAAGATAAGCATAGATTATTTTCAGTGTAACAACTTTTAGATATTGAACAAAAAATAACCTAAACATAAATAATCGATTTTTAAAATGGATTCTTGTTATCCGATTCATATCAAATTTCGCATCAGTTAATAGTAGATAAATATTTGTTAATTTCAAATATAGTTAATGGAAACTAAACAAAATTCTTTTCAGTTAATCAGATGGAATATTTTATATTTAACATTTTGGACTTTAGCCTGTTAAAAAAAATAAATTGAGCTAAAAATTCATATTTTTTTGAATTAATTGTGTTTTTAGTATACATATGTGTTTTATGTGTGGAAAAAAACAATCAACAATTCACACTGAAAGTGAACAAGGTAAAGTATTCTTCAGGTTTTAATGTTTTTATGACCTGTTTAAAAATATACATTTCCGGTTGTCTTATTATTTTGAGTCTGAATGCTTTTTCTACGATATTTTAAATTAATATTTAATTTATCCTTCCTTTTGTGAAGAGGCAGATGAACGAACTTTAATTTCTTTGAAAACTTATCGTATACAATTGTTTGTATGAAACCACATACATACTAGGGATGCCAAACGGGACTGGCTTTTACAAATCCCGGGATTCGGGATTTTGAAAATTGCAATCCCGGGATCCCGGG